AAAAGTACAGCCAATCCTAAGCAAAAGCTAACAAAATAAAACAAAATAAAAATATAAATATAAAACATGTAAACAGCCGTAAGGAAAACTGATAAACATAAATAACTGGCAACAATAAAAAAATCAAATACACCCACATTTACATACAAACTATAAAAATAAAATTATTAAAATGTTTTCGCTGAATGGCAAGTACTCATGCATACATTTACATATAAATACCTAAGTATTGTAATTTTGTTCAGTTGATAAATAATATTATTGCATATATAAGATTAAAGAATATACATACATATACATAAAAAAATTAATCAATTAGCTTGGAATTGCTTATTTCGCCATTTAGGTTGGGCTGGGTTATGTCAGCTTGGCTGATCCTTGAGGTTGCTAAGAAAGGGCAGGCCCACGCTTAAACCGTAGTCCCGATGCACTTTTTAGTGAGTTTTAACAACTTTCTAGTCTTTTGGTCTGCTTTTTTTCTTCTGTGAGGATAAAGTATATAGAGTCGCGATCTGCCAAAAGTTGAACAGTGGCACAGGGCATGTGCCAATGTGCCTCTTTGTGGGTTCTCTCGAATCCACGTCGCTGAACACTATTTAGTATAGAACAGGCAGCCAACTATCACTGCTACACTTTACTAGGGAAAGTTGGGTGAAGAGAAAGTGGTATCATCTCGTAATATGGAATTTCTTAGGGCTCAGATACCTCTAACTCAATTTCTAGATTTGATATCAGTTCAATTATTCAAAATAGAGCTGGCGAATAAGGCATTAAGAAATACGTCCTCCTGCGTCCACTAATTTCGTACACATCCGACTAAAAACCACCTGCGAGCATTGGAGCCGGCATCGTTGGTACAAGATCAAACAAGGTCTTCCTTCTATGGGTCCCGAGTCACTAAGCGATAAATCAAAATGAAGATATAGACTGGCTTGCTAGGATGGCGGCAGCAACAACACCAATAGGTCCCGAGCTTTTCTTTGCAATAGCAGCACACACCATCAGAGAATAGCTTAGGAGAGAATTAAGAACAAGTAGAGAACGAGTCACTAGACAGCGCCAGGCAAAGGAGATATTGGAAGGATTCAACAAAAAAAAAAAAAAAAAAATATGATAACCTCACTAAGCTCCCAAAGAACAAATTAAGAACGAACGAAAAATGATACTGAAGATGGCACAACGCCGAAACCGGTTAGTCTCCAAACCATAACCAAATTTGACAAGGGATGACGGAAATTCGTTCCAAAATACAACAAATTAAGAATTGTAATAGGTATATTAACAGTTCATTTCAGATTAAGAAGTCACCTAAACAAACTCGGGAACTCTCTGTGTTATTCCGAGCTAGTTTTTTATGATCCAGCGCCAATATTGTTGGTAGTTTTTGCCCTATAAGAGCAACGCATTATTCTTGCCAGGTATCGTGCGCCTTCTTTCCACGGTATTCGATATTGCTTTTCCAGTTCAGTTTGGTGTCTATCGTGACTTCCAAATACTTTGCACTATAAGATAGCTTGAGCATCTTACCATCAAGCGACGGCGCTTTGAACAGGTGTATTTTGTTCCTAACCATTTGTGAATAGCATAAGTTCGATCTTCTCTGGGTCTGCGCTTCACCCGCTCTTTGTAAGGTACCCAGCGACGCACTGCTAAATGGGGTCCGCCCACAAAATGCATTGCGTAATTCATACAAATAATTGATTAAAATACCGCTGACCAATTTAAAATTGTAATGCGCATTGTAGGCAGTGTGCTGGGTATAACTGCACCAGTGATCTTTCGAGTATTTCGTTAGAGTTGAGAGGAAAGGGCCCATAACTGCTAGCAAATCATCATAGGCGTACGCCACAAATTGGACGCCCCCTCTGTTGAGATTTTTTCAGTATGCCGTTCAAGGCTTTAACAATGGTGAGAGAACGGCTTCCTCCATTTGTAACGTGAACCACAACGGTACCACAATGATCGACTGTGATCAGCTAAATAAACCCTCAGGGCCAGCTACTCAATATCTGGTCACCACTAATCTCCGCTTAAACATCGTTATCGACGTTACCGACTCCCTGTTATATGCATGGAGTCGAAGACATCGGAAAAGATGTTTTAGCGGAGATTAGAGTTAACCAGACATTGAGTATTCGGCCCTTAAACTCTTTAGCAAAAGTGAACTATGTAGAAATGCCGCGTCTAGTTCACAGTAGTTGAAACCATTTGTTTTCTTTTTCCACATACATANATCGGAAAAGATGTTTTAGCGGAGATTAGAGTTAACCAGACATTGAGTATTCGGCCCTTAAACTCTTTAGCTAAAGTGAACTATGTAGAAATGCCGGGTCTAGTTCACAGTAGTTGAAACCATTTGTTTTCTTTTTCCACATACATACATACATATGTATTTATGTATATATATGTACTTTTTACTCGTCACTACTTTGAGTATCCCTTCAATCAATGTATGTACATTGTACAATTATTTCAATGTACAGTTTCGTGTAATTTGCGATATATATATATATGAGGCATTCTTTTTCATATCGGACACCAAATTTTTTGACACACTTTCGACTCACTTCAATTTTTTTTATGGATTATATACATGAAATAAGCNTATATGAGGCATTCTTTTTCATATCGGACACCAAATTTTTTGACATACTTTCGACTCACTTCAATTTTTTTTATGGATTATATACATGAAATAAGCTAACACGTATTCGGGGATCTTTTTTTTAACTTTTTTCTTCGGAGATATGATCTGTCAAACTTTGGATTTTTTCGTGATTCTGACTAATCATGTACTTTTTGAAATCGTTATATCTCGTGTTCTGCTCATTGTAGAGACTTCATCTTAACGTCGTTTTAAAGCTAAAGAAATGGGCTTAACCTCCTGTATATAAGATGGTCAAGATTGTCCTAAAGCTAACTTAGCTATTAACAGTTAACCTTTTTCAAGTTGATTTGCATAGTGAAGACCAGTAAATTAGGTGTTTAGAATTATACCATCGCAATCCTTGTTTAATTCTCTATAAAAAAAAATGGTTCAAAAAATTGGAAATTTTTTCAAGAGCTAGTTTAGAAATATTTTTTTATGGCGAGAAGGTTTATTTTGTAATTTTTTTCAATTAGTCAAAATCGCGAAAAAATCCAAACTGTGAAAGGTCGTATCTCCGAAGAAAAAAATGAAAAAAAAAATCCCCAAAATGTGTTAGCTTATTTCTTGTCTAGAACTCATAGANTTATACCATCGCAATCCTTGTTTAATTCTCTATAAAAAAAAATGGTTCAAAAAATTGGAAATTTTTTCAAGAGCTAGTTTAGAAATATTTTTTTATGGCGAGAAGGTTTATTTTGTAATTTTTTTCAATTAGTCAAAATCGCGAAAAAATCCAAACTGTGAAAGGTCGTATCTCCGAAGAAAAAAATGAAAAAAAAAATCCCCAAAATGTGTTAGCTTATTTCTTGTCTAGAACTCATAGAAAAATTTTAAGCGAATCGGAGACAAGATATATATTTTACAAAAGCCATCCGACTTAGAATAGAATGGCTCATATATTAAATCGAACACTTTTCTCTCCACACTCGATTATGGCGACTTGCCCTAAAGATCGCTAACGTTAACTGGTTTCCACCTCTGAATGCAACCTCTCGAAGTCTCCCTAATATCAAAACCATGAAAATA